AGGGAAGGGAAGGGAAGGGAAGGGAAAGGGAAAGGAAAAGGAAAAAGAAAAGGAAAAGAAAAGAAAAAAGAAAAGAAAATGAAATACAGTTATAGTTTGAATCTGAAATGTCCTCAGCTGTTGATAATAGTTGGGGGGGGACCATTACTAGGTGGAGCCCACCTAAAGCAGACATGATGGGGCTTTGCCAGCTTACCTGGCCTCTGTTCTTTGCTGGCTCTCTGCTTCCCAGTCCACAGTGAAGTGAGCAGCCTCCTGTATACATCCCCCACAATGGGCTGAGCTGTTTTCCCATTTCCTCTCAAGAAAGACTAAAACAATGAACCCCTGACACACAGTAAATTCTTTCTCCTTTAAGTTGGCTCTGCCTGGTACTATGGTCAGGACAACGCAAAGGCAACCAATACAACCCCCTTTTCAGAATCTTTGTTCTGTATTTAATAAAAAAGAAAAATCCAAGCTGGAGTTTGGATCAAAAGGGCCTAAAATGAGATAGAAAATAATATATAATGCCAATTCAGTAATTGAATGTTTAATGGAAACTTAAAATCTAAGCACTAATGCCATTTTTCCGAATGTTCATTTTCTAAAGTAGTCATTTTTCAACAATATCTTGATGACAAGAAACGTTATGGGTTTTGTTTTGTATTGTTTTGTTTTTGTTTGTTGTTGTTGTTGTTGCTACTATTCCATGAATGATATTTGGAGGAAACTGGGCAGAGGAAGGATGATAGGTGAATTAAAAAAAAATGGAGGTAAAGACTGAAGAGATGACTCAGCAGTAAAGTGTACTAGCTGAGCTTCCAGAGGACCCAGATTCAATTCCCAGCACCCACATGGCAGTCTGCCCCCATCTGCAACTCTAGTTCCAGGCAATCAGATGCCCCTTATCTGGCCTCTGTGGAAATCAGGCATGTATATGGACCATAGATATATATGTATACAAAACATCAATACAAACAAATAACTTAATGGTGGGTAATAGAATCCAGAATGACCTCTTGTCTGTATCCAAGAAAATCAAGAGACACTCTGAGACTATCATAAGATCAGGAGGGGGTTTCTGAGAAAAGCATGGAGATATTAAATGCCTATGTGTGAGTTTGTATATCTACACTTGGGGACATACATCTATGTTATTTATTTGTGGACCCAGCTCAGAGGTAGATGACCACTTGCTCAGTATACACAATACCTGGGGTTCAAACCCAGCACCAGCAAAAATAAAAGTAAAACAAACAGACTGTATTGTCTATATCTAATGCTTATATTTAAATGATACACAGTTGAGAAAAAAGATTGAATATGCTTTATATATGAAGGGCTTTGATCTGGACAGAGTTGTATCCCCACAAAGATATAACTCCTCACATTTGAGAATGTTCCTGGGCTTACATGTAGTGTCTTTGCAGATGGAATCAGGTGAAACAATCACTAAACATGGTCCATATTGAAGGAGAAGGTGGAGGAAACACCTTCACCTCATTTAAAAGGTGAAGAAACAACCCAGACACACAGGACAAAAAAGTATGTCAGGAGAACATAGATAAGGCAGTGCTGAAACCATGAAAGAGCACAAGAAAGACTCAGGGAAGCCTTTCTCTGGTTTTCAAATTGAACAGAGTCCTGAATGAACTTGGTATTATTCTTACAGGGTACTCAAAACAAACTTTTATTGTAGAAGTCACCCACGCTGTTAATGCAGCCAAATGAAATTGATAAAATCATGCAAGTTAGCAAAGAGAACTAAGGCTAATTTATCTAACAAGTTGTCCATGAGACTTGTTTCCCTAGAATAAAATATTATGCACAATGTTTATATAACTGTTCAGAGAGAAAAGTGTTGTCTCAAGAAATGACACCAGAACTAACAGTGGATGTGGTTGAGTGAATGAAAAATGTCCGCCATAGGCTTATACATGGGAACATTTGGTCCAAAGTCGGGGATACTGTTTGAGGAGATAATGGAGCCTTTAGAAAACAGAGCTTTCTAAAGGAAGTATGTCACCATGTAGGATAGTCAGGGTTTTATAGCCTGATCCCACTTCCTGTTCTCACTCTGTACTTCCTGTGTGCCGCTGAGATGTGATCTCTCAGCTTCTGGATCCTTCCACTTGAAGCTGTACCTCCCTGACATGATGGACTCTTCTCTCTCTGAAAGTATATGCCAAAATAAACAGTTTTGCTTATAAATTAGCCGTGATTCAGGTGCTTCATCACAGCAAGAGAAAAGTAACAGATACAAGAGGCGATCCTCCATGACATGGAACAGTATACTGCTGAGACAGACGCTTGGATCTTGTCAGAGTCTTTACCGTGGTTTTGAAGGCCTGGTTGGTTTCATTTATTTTTATCCACACATATTTATTTGGAACCTAATGTGTACCAGTCAGTTTTGTTGCAGCCAAATATATACCACTCAACCAAAAGGCACAGTCAAGAAAAATACATCCTTGCTTTTATAGAGCTTGCATTTAGATAGATACATAGATATAATAAACATGAATCATATATAAACATAACCAGTGCTGTTGATAATAGAACATTTAGAGTAGGAGTGAGAACAGGGCTTAATTATTCTGGGGCAGTGTGTTCAAAAGGAGACCTCATTAAGAATGCAGTATGAGTGGGGAGGGAGGTTAACTCATCTAGACATCTAAGAGTAGCATGTTCCAAGAGCGCAATGCAGGGTGAAAAGGCTTCTAAAGCTGTGAATGTCAGAAGTACCACAAAGAGCCAGCATCCTGGCTCAGAGTTAGGGAGGGAGGAGGAGGCTTTCAGAAGGCTGACCAAGACTAGTCACTGGCTGGCAAGCCGGATCTATGCAGTGTTAACAGCTTTATAGCATGTTTTAAGGATCTGGATTTTATTCTAAAGGAATCAGAGGCCTCTGGAAGGTTGGGAGCAGGTGAGTGGCAGGATCTCAGGTTCATTCAAAGGTGCTGACATTTGGAAGTCAGGGAAACATGTTCAGATGCAGAAGAGCCAGAGGAGGCTACTGTTGTCACCCAAAAGGAAAGATGGCAGACAGAGAGGGTGATAGGAGTGGAGGCTTCCTTGGCAAGGCTGATAAATTAGAGTCTACTTCCTATATCTTAATAATAGTTAAAGGCAAGCTCTGCTGCAAAGGGACAATGAAATCCATTTTATCATCTATAAAATAAAAGGGCTGGGTTTTATAACCTTTAAAAATCATTTGAGTTTTACACTTTGGAGTCTGTGATAGGACAATCATTGCCAGTGCCTCAGAATTCATAGCAGGGCATTTTGTGAAAGAATTAGAGAAAGTTTTGCGAAGACACAAAGTGAACATATATTATCCATCTCAAGCACAGGCATTATGACCATGAGAGAGGAGGGCACACAAGAGGTCAAGGACATTGCCAGAGGAGCAGACTTTAACAATCCCTTTGCTAATTGCCAATTTTTAACAGATATTCGTAGGA